CTGTTCTCTCAAACGCCCAGTCGGTCGTGGCAGATGGCTGCTCACACTGAGCCTGGTTCTGCTGGAGGTCTTCCTGTTAAAAGGGAGTTTTCCTCTCCACTGTCGCTACATGCATGCTCAGTATAAGGGATTGCTGCAAAGTGAACGCAAGTGACTGTCCACTGTCTCTACATGGTCATCCAGGAGGAGTGAATGCTCCAAGTCACTGACTGGATGCAATTTGCTGGGTTTCCTTAGATAGAAAAACTTTTTATCCAATTTGAATAAAAAGCTAACTCCGACTGCACTGTTCAATGGTTAGGATTAATTGGAATGTATGTACCTGACTGTTGTGAAGTGCCTTGAGACGACATGTGTTGTGAATTGGCGCTATTTAAATAAAACTGAATTGAATTGAACTGTTAAATAAACATAACTGACTCCAGACATGGTGAGACAAGATACATTGGTAGTGAGTAGCTAAACTATATTATGTACTGCAATTCTGTAAAAAAAAGTCTGAATACATTGAAAGATATATTTTAATGTTTAATGTTATTTTAATGTTTACATGCACAGTGTAAACAGTGACATAACCGTTTTTCTCACCATCTGACAGCAAGTCAGACTAAGCTTTTTCTGTATAAGATTTGTTAGAATTACCAAAATTAGAAATGGTAAGAATAATAGAAGAGGGAATTATTTTAGACAATTTTTCAAACCTTAATCAAATATTACTGGTTTACATACATTAAGAATATTGGGCTTTTAACAGTTTAAGAAACTGCACGGTGGCGCAGTTGGTAGCACTATCTTGCAGCAAGAAGGTCCAGGGTTCGATTCCCGGCTGGGGGTCTGTCTGCATGGAGTTTGCATGTTCTCCCTGTGCATGCGTGGGTTCTCACCGGGTACTCCGGCTTCCTCCCACAGTCCAAACACATGCCTGTTAGGTTAATTGTTCACTCTAAATTGCCCTTAGGTGGATGAATGAGTGTGTGCATGGTTGTATGTGTGTTGCCCTGCGATGCACTGGCGATCTGTCCTGGGTGTACCCCACCTCTCGCCCATAGACTGCTCGAGATAGGCACCAGCTCCCTGTGACCCACTATGGAATAAGCGGTAGAAAATGACTGACTGACTGACAGTTTGAGAATGATGATGTTATGGCTGTTCTAGAAGGTTCTGATAGGGTATTATTTGAGATATTTTTTAAAGCTTCAGCTGAATCACACTATGCAATCTTAAGATGCCAAAAAGTGAAATAATCTGTTTAACAATGAATAAACAGCATGGGAATGTCCAGCCATGATTCTGCTCAGGAAGCAGTCAGTTTCTATGTTCCAGTGATAAAAATTGGTAATCCTAAATCATGTAAGAAAAAGGAAAAGTTTAGTCTAACCTAATGTCAGTCAGGAAACGATTGGGTCTCTATGTGTAGTGTATGTAAACATCTGCTTTCAACTGTATATATGCTTCCACTTTGTAAAATTATCAGACAGCTTGATGCTGATAAAAGTCAACTCTATTTATTCATTAAGTCTGATAAGTCTAATTAAATTGACTACAAGCTTGTCTTTAGGACAAACAAGCCTGGATGAGTCATAATTTCGTACTGCTAAACACAGACAAAATTAAAATGATTATTTTTGGAACTGAACACCCTGTAAATGAAAAATACTAAAATGATTTCCCTGGACGACATTATTTGGCTTTCCAGCACCAGCGTGAGGAATGTTGGAATGCAACCAAGATTTGTCCTTTAACACAGCCATAAAACCTATAACAATGACTATTTATCATCAGGATGTCCCTTATATTCATTGAAAAACCTAATCCAAAATGCCTGTGAGAGCTTTAACACAAATTACACATTTTCGGCTATTTATATTCATTCACTCTCTAAACTCTCCTAAATTTTCCAAAGAGAGCACTTGTTCTCAGATGGCTGGGTTACTTTTGGTTTCAAGAGTATTTAAAAACAGAAAAAAGCAGGACTTTCAGTTGTCAGAGTCCTGTTTTGTAGAACCAGCCTCCAGTTCTAATTAGGAAAGCAGATGCACTGCCTGCTTTGCCCAGTGCTTTCTTCAGGATATGAAAATGAAGTCAAGATTAAATGCAATCTGATGGTGTCCTGAGATAATTGTTTACTAATTGACGTGACTTAGAATTTTTTTTGGGATCAAATTTAATTTGAATCTTACTGAACTTTTTGGATGAAAAATAACAGAGTGTGACTGTGATCAATGTAAGTAGATTTAAATGGTCCCTGTTGGCTTTTTGAAAAATGCCCTGAAGTTATGTTTTTATATTGTACACTGACTTGCTAAAGTATTCATTTAGCTCGAAATTCTTCACTTATCACAGTACAATGATAAATGTTTATGTATTATATTGGTATTTTTGTGATAGACCAACACAAAGTAGTGTATAATGGTGAACAAGAAAGAATGCTATATCTTGTTTTCTACTACTTTACTTAAAATATTGGATCGTTCGGCATGGAGCTGTATTCAGCCCCCTTAAATCAATACTTTGCAGAGACATCTTTTGTTGCAATTATAGCTGCAGGTCTTTTGGGATGGCATTCTTCCAGCTTTGCACATTTAGAGATAAATATTTTTGCCCATTCAACTTTGCAAGATAGCTCAAATTCAGTCAGATAGGAAGGATGTTGTCTGTAAACATATTTCTGAAGTCTTGCTACAGTTTAATTTAAATCTGGACTTGAATCCTGTATCATCTTGAGGACAATGTTTCGGGGATGTGCGGTTTTAGTTTTTGTCCACAAAGAGTACCAAAATAAAAAGTTTTTTTTTTTTTTTTTTTTTCTGAACTAAGCACCTTCTAGCACGTTTGGTGTCCCCAACCCCCAAAGGGCTTTTAACAAGCTGAACTTCTCATTGAACAAGGCATTTATTCTTTTCATTTCTGACTTACCTGAGCGTGGAGGCCAGTCAATAGTATCAGTTGGTGCACAATTAATAATCTATCCTGTTAAACCAGAGCTGTATGTCTCTCCAGCTCTTCAAGAGTTGCGTTTAAAAAAAAATAAAAAGTTAAATACTGCTGAAATATGTAGACGTTTGTGGTTGCAATGCGACAAAATAGGTAATAGCTCTAGATGTCTGAACACTTGAGCAAGGCCCTGTATATTTTATTTTCCTTCCAACATTTTTCCCAGTCGTTTAAACATACTTTCTTTCTTGTGCTTCTGCTTTAACAGAGAAACCTGCCTGAACACACCCCCAGACTCACCAGAATTCTGACAGTAACCGAGGCAAGCCCAGGAGGCATGGTTCCCTGTACGTCCACAGCCTCTACGGTGAAAGTGTATGTGGGTTCAGAAGCAGCCAGAGCTTCAAAGTCTAGAACCTTGAGAACAGACAGCTCCCCCGTCATGGGGTCAATGCGAAAAAACTCCAATATCTCAGGATGCAAGCCTTCCACTCTGATTCGATATGTGAGGTTGGAGATGAGGTCAGCGTCTGTTGCCTTCAGAAAAACAAGAATAACGAAGGTTTAATCAGTGCTCTGTGATGTTATATTTTTATTTTTGGAAAGTTAAATTTTAAAACAGTGCTTTCATTTAGCTCGGTGTTGAGGTGAGATATTCAAAGTGCCTGTGGCAGTAACCTTTAATGTTCTGGTGGACCACTGGTGGTCCATGTAGTATTCGTTTTACGTATTTTAATAGAGCGGCTTTAGGGAATCCTGCCCTTTTAAATTTTCAATCCTTCAACAACTCTCTCAGTAATTTTGACTTTTATGACATCTCCAGTGTTGCCTGGAATATGAAATGTAAGCACTTTAGTGATTTCAAAGAAAATTTAAGAGAGTGACTCTAAGTAACATTACTATGAGTTTCATGGACTAGATTTATGACTTGGAGGGTTTGGATTGAGTCAGAACATTAATCTTCAGTCGCCTTATTTTGAATATCAAGCTGCTGAAAATGTTTGCGTAGGATTGTTTGGAACAGCTTTTAGTCAAAGTAAAATATTATTTAAAAACTAAACTAGATAATTGATTAAAAAACTGCAACAATTCTTTTGAACAAGCCTTTTTTAAGATGCCACTCTGCTTCTAAAAAGATTGCAGTCATATTAAATAAATGTTTTATATCAAAGCCACAGGAAAAAGCTTAAGCACTGGTAACCCCCTGTTAGAGGAGCAATATCAAAACCCAAACCATACCAATTTCATTTATGAAGTGTTTAAAACAACCACAGCTGAAACCAAATGATGCACATAAACAGGGACATTTTAGCTAACACATTTTAGAAGTTGTTCTCTTAATAATATACCATTCATTGCATTAAGGTTTTAGTGGCAAAATGACTATTTTATCTCCTGAAACTGTAAACGTCTCCAGGCAGATTGCACAACACAGTAAGTTAACTGTTCAAATTGTGCTAAAAGACAAGGCTAAAAGGTTCATCTCAATAAATTACAATATCTTTGAAAAGTTTATTTATTTATTATTTATTTATTGCATTTAAAAAGTGAAACTCATATTTTTTATACTCATACTCAACACACACAGTGATATATTTTAAGCATTGATTTCAGTTTATGTTTAATGCTTATTACCTACAACAATACAAAATTTCCATCCCGTGTTTTGCTAATGATATTCAGGTTTATCTGCCCAATAAGCCAAACAGGGTCAATCCACTCCAAACACTCTTGAGCTGTCTGAACGACATTACAATTTGGTTAAAACTGAATTTTCTGAATTTAAAGGAAAGTACGATTGATGTCATCAGTTTTAGTGGATGTATTTCTCTTGACCATAATCTCTGCATTACTCACAAACTGTCCAGAATACAGCAGCTCATCTTTTAACAGGTTCTAAAAACATGAACACATATCTCCAGTTCTGGCTTCTCCATCGGCTTCCTGATAATTGTAGGATTTATTTTAAGATTTTACTACTTGATTTAAAAGTTTTAAAAGGTCTGGCCCTATCATACCTATGTGACCTCCTTAACATCCACACGGCAATAAGAGTACTTCAATCAACCAACCAACCAGTTCCTCTTAAATGTCCCTAGACTTAAACAAAAATTCAGAGATGATTGCAATTTCTGTCCCAAACCTATTGAACAGTTCACCTTTTCATATACAGACCACTAAGACAGTCAAGACTTTTAAATCTGTGCTCAAGAGCCATTTTTATTCCTTGGTATTTAATTCTCGCAGAGTTTAACATTCTTTTAAAGCGGAGTGTTCTATGATGTATTTTTGTATTTCATTTTAACTTTACTTGTTTTTAATATTGTCATTTTATGTGTTCATTTGTTCATGTGCACTTTGGTCAACTTTGGTTGTTTTTTTATGTGTTATATAAATACATTGACGTTGGAGCTAATGAAAACCTTAAATTCAGTTTCTCAGAAAATTACATTTTAATCCAGAAATGTTATGTTATTGCCCATACAATTATAGAGAAGACTGCTGACATTTATATTTGTCCAGCAGACAGCCGTTGGCACCTCTTACAAGGCATTTTAACTTAAAAAGGTTATTGTTAAAGGAGCTGGCTGTTCAAAGGGTATTGTCTGGAACTGAATTGCAAGTTGAGTTGAAAGAAAAACTGTGGCTGGAAAATGTTGCAAAAGCAATCGCAACCTTGATGGTTGCGATGAACAGGAAAAATCGACTTGTTTACTGGTTTTATGTTAGATTAAAATTTTTTGAGAAGTTGAATATTTTATGTTCATTAGTTGTGTGCCATAATATGCAAAATTAACATAAACACTTGAAGTATATAATTCTGTGTTTAATGAATCTAAGCAATTTATCGGTTTCACTTTTTGAATTGAATTACTGAAATAAATAACATTTTCAATCAAATTCTGATTT